GAGAGAGAGAGAGAGAGAGAATCTAGATTTTCTATGAGTTCTTGTTCTAGCGAGAGAGAGAGCTCTGATTAGCTGGGCAGGGAGGGGGATTTGGTTTGGATTTTCTTGGAAAGAGAACTTGTTCTAGTTTGACAGAGAAGGACCGTTCACAGAGAGAGAGCTAGAGAGCTTCTATTGATTTTCTTAGAGAGTCAGGATAGAGGGCATCAGTTTTAATTTGCTCTTCACTGGTTCCTTTCCTTTTGACCTTTAATCACCACTGAAATGATTCCTTTACTCTTTCTCTAACCCGAAGCCACAGATTTAACTTGTCCATCATTTCTCTCTTAAACTCCAAGGGGCCATTTAGATCTCTGGGGAAAAGATTATCAAGAAATGGTTTTTCAAGGAAATTGTCTGTTTCTGCTTTTGAGTCCAAAATCTGGGATGGAAATAAAATTCTGGCAGAAATCTTTTTCTCTATATGATACCAAAATAAAGCAATTCCTTTGCCCTGAAAAGTCGCACCCTACTCACCCAAATCTCTCTCCCCCACCCGGTTGCTAACCCTCTCCCTCACCTCTCTTTCTCTCTCTCTCTCTCTCTCTCTCTCAGCCAGTTGGTGTAAGGCGCTTGTGCGTGATAATATATATATACACAAGCACCTTAGACCAACCGCCTGTTCACTCCCAAATGGCCAAAACCTCCATTGTCCTCTCTCTCCTCATCCAATCCCCTCTCTTTAACCGAAGATGTTGGTGGTTCTGAAGGCATTTCAATTTCATGGGGTATTCAAGGTGGTTTTGGAGGTATCATTGCAAACACTTCCCCACCTGGTTGTCAAAGGCTTATTCAATCACTCATGCAATCATGTAATCAAGGTTGTTATGGAGGTGCCATTACCTAACTCATGCCCTTCCTAATAATCCATTTGGCATAACTGGCTCATGGGTGGGAACCAATGTTTGCGATCACAAAGGGGTTTTCTGTACATTGCCATTAGAGGGTTCTTCAGAGCTTGTAGTTGCAGGGATAGATCTCAACTGTGCCTTTCTTGAAGGGACCTTGGTCTCTGTCCTCTCTTGTCTCCTCAATATCAATGGAGGGCATGGGAAACCTGTTTGACTCTTCAAATAATCATTTTTATTTCCTTCAAATAATCATTTTTATTTTTATTTCTATATTTTGCACTGAATAGAACTTGTTTGACTTTGGCTTCTTACCTACTTATAGAGATGATTTAGTTTTGTGTTTGATTACAAGTTGTAGTGATTTGGATTTCTTAGGTGTTCAATATTCTGTTTTTGAAATACTTTATTCATGTCATGTGACACACTCATATTTCTTGGTTCTAGGCTCTAAATTTCCTCTCAATAGAAGAATAAATGAGGCTCAGATGGAAGGATATATACAATTACCTAAAGGTTTGTCATATTTCTTTTGGTTGATAGCTAGACTAATTGGCTTAACAGTGCAATGTTTTTCTTTACATATATGCCGTTCTTCAATAATGTGAGCAATATTGGTCCTCTCTTTCTTGTAATGTACTTAATGCTAAAAGGGTATGCTCTTTTGAACTTGTGAGGATGCTATCTTTGCTGTGTTAGTTAAGAGTGTTTGTTGGCCTTTTGATGCAAATGCCATGGAAATAGCATTACTGCTGCCACTCCATTTGTGATGAAAACTATTTCTTCTGATTGTTTTGCGTCTTTTATCATTGAGAGCTAATGTTCTAGTTACATATGAGCATTATGGTTTCTCATCAAAATTTCTAATAACTATCTATGCTATACATGAAGGTGATTCAGATTTGTCTACTCAATTAGGATTTATCTAACATTTGTGAAGTTTGTTCTAAACTTGAATTATTTTTGGAATACATTTTTTGACGTTACAACTTTCTTTTGTTTATTGCATTTTACGTGTCATAAATTCTATTTCTTTTATGCAAAATTTTATTGTGGCTCATATTTTTATGCATTTCAGGTCTTTCTTTTTGGGAAAATGATGAGGATGCCCGTGTTCTGCGCATTGGGTTTGTATGTTTTGAGTACTCTGACCTTAGTTTCATTCTTTCCATGTTTATGTGATTTCATTTTTGCATCATTAGTTTTATTGCCAACTGAAACTTGCTTTCTGCTTGTGGTTTTTATATGATGTCTGATTGGTCTGAGCAACTATTGTGTCCTAGATAGTTAATCGAATGATCTAATCATTGAACCTTTGCTTTAAATAGTGCATTGATAGGAATTTTCACATCTTTAAATTAGAAATTCTAAATGCATTTGGTATTATATAAAAGAACCTTATTTTCACACTGATAAATTGGGAAATCATTTTGTACTTGGTTTATGTGGTACATATCATGATGAATGTAAACTAGCTACGGTTATTGTGACTAGTCCATTCTATTTTCTAGGAAATATATAAAAAAATTCACCTCAAATTGGAATTCACCAAAGCATTCTACTTCTGGCCTACTAACCCTAAACATGCTTACTTGGCTGAAGAACCCCCCTAATCGTGAATCAATTTCCAAATTTCTTTTGGAATGATGTTTCACTTCATGAATTGTCGCAAAAGCAAAGTAAATTGGAAGCCACAGCTACGAAATACCTCCAACTGAGGTTCTCTAGGACCATCCATGAACTGATTCATTGCTCACATCATATGCAATATTTAGTCTGGTGATTCATTAGGTATTGTTCACCTACCTATCTGTGATGGGAACTTCAGTTATTAGTTTATTAGAAGTCTCACATTTGGGCTTGCATAGGGCAATGTCTTAAGGTGAACCAACTCCATGAATATCAAAGAAAGTTGTTACAGGGGTATCGGAAATAGGAAAAAAGGATTTCCCTTATTGGAACTAGGCCCTCACCTACCACTCTACAAACACCAAGGTCAACAGTGGCATCTAAAGTTGCCTTTTGTGGCGCTGTTGGCTATTGGTCCGTGCTGCTATATTGCAGGAAAAACTTCATTATACCGTCTTATTCAAATGTGCTAGGATGATATCACAGAACTCTTACCTGCAAATGGGGTTCTGAACTTAGGGCATGCAATGCAAAGTTTCAATGTTTGTAATGTAGATGACTCTCTCTACCGCTCTATATTTGGCACCTAGTCTCAAAGTTTCCTCCCAATTGACCTCAGTTCAGACACCTAATGTATTCTTTCCTATTTGCATCATAGATCTAGTGTATACTTCCTTGAAGTAATCAAAATGCATCTTCATATCTTTGTTTCAAAAGGCCATTGCACTAGGCAAAGCAAGGTTATCTTGGCACATGGTTCATAAACGTATGTATGTATGTCTTGTGTGTGTAATATCATATTTGATCAAGGGATTAGTTAAACGTTGAGTGCTTATTCATTCTATTATACTCATTGCCATTTGCACGTGCATATGTATAAGGTCGCATTTGACCAAATGACCTGGTTAACATAGGAGTTAAGAGGCTGGTTTGTTTGTTCATTCTAGGTTACCCAGTGCCGTGGTCCCTCAATACTAAAAGTCCTAGTTGAAGCAAATTGTTCCAATTGTAGGCGGTTGGTTGTTTGTTCATTCTTTCTAGGATTTCATTGCAACTTGATTAAGTGGTTGCAGGTCCTAGTTAGGGTGTAGTTGTACAAGCCTAGAGTCTTTTCTTGTATGTATAAGTTTCTAGCGCTTTTATGTATGATATATGCTCTAAGAGATTGTGGAATCCTGGCTTAGCGTTTCCCGGAGGTATTCTATGTTATCTGAAGATTGATAAGGGTATTTCGATCTTGGAGTTCTGCTGATTTATGATTTTTTTGTGGATTTCGTTTCTTATTTGTGGAATTTTTTACTTAGAGATTCTACAAATCTCTACATGGTTAGCATTTCGTGTAGTCAAGGGTGATTTTGGACAAGCATTAATTTATACATTTTTTTGATGGATGTTATAGCATAATTCTAGTATTAAGCTTGACGAAGACAAAATATATGAAATGCAAATTTAGTAATATTAGGAATAAAAAGGAGGAAGTAGTTAGGATTGATGGCCATGAATTGCATAAAATAGATTATTTTCGATATCTTAGGTCGATAATCCACGAGAAAGGAGAGACTGAGGAAGATGTTGCTCATTGAATTAGAGCTGGGTGGACATAGTGGAGATGTGCTTCTAGAGTCTTATGTGATTGTTGCGTAGCAATGAAACTGAATGGGGATTTTATAGGACGGCTATAAAACTAGCCATACTTTATGGGACAGAATGTTGGGTAGTCAAGAAACAACATATCCATAAAATGAGTGTTGCTGAGATGGATGAGTGGCAAGATAAGAAATAACAGAAGTCGGAATAAATACATTCTTGGGAATTTAGGGGTAGCTCCAATATGTGATAAATGAGGGAAAGTAGAATTAGGTGGTCTGTCATGTACAACGTCAATTTAGAACAACACCGGTTAGGAGGGGTGATTTAGTTCAAGTGGATGGTTCTAAAAAGGCAAAGGGAAGGCCCCAAAAGACAGAGATGGAAGTAGTGACAATATTGATGATGACTTATGGTTTGACTAAGGGTATGGTCCTTGATAGAGTAAAATAGTTGAACATGATTTGTATAGCCGATCCCAAGTAGTTGGGATAAGGCTCGGATGATGATGATAATGATCAATCTAATATCACAGATGCGTGGATTTCTTTTTGGATCACTTTATATAGATTTAATTCATCTTGAAATTGTTCACATAGATTTTTATCTCTCTATCCATTGCTTCAATTTTTTGGTTGTGTAGTTTGTTTTCTGCCAACAATTATTGTGCAATCTGTGATGCATCACTATCTATCTTGTCACATGAGGTTGGAAGAAAAGTAGTTATTTTATTATATATTATACTTTCCTTATGTATTTCTGTATTATATATTATGCTTTTCTTATGTATTTCTCCCATTGTTGTAGGTCAAACCTGAAATAGTCAATTGGTCGCCAAGAATTATCCTTTTCCATAATTTTTTGAGTGCAGAGGTAATTCATCTTTGGTTGTTTTGCTTTTCTTTTTTCCTTTTTTTTATTATTAATTCCTTATTTCAACCCACCGAATCAGTCTTGGATAGGATTCTCATAAGAAAAAATTTGATAATTGATTGCCAGTTGTGCTGGTTACTTGGGTTTGAGTTCAACTTCTTTGGCAAGTGAAATGCTTCTACATGTTATGCCATCATTCTATAAGAAATGGTTCTAACTTGTAGACACCATAACTTGAGTTGTTCAAAAAAAGACTGTGGTGGTTTAAGTATAATTTTCAGTTCCCTTTCTTGTCATGGCCCTATATCTTGATTAGTTTTGGTACGGGACTTTCTCACTATGGCATTTCTGTGGTGCACGTGTATATAGTATTATTTATAGGCATGCATTTGGTTATTAAGCGTTTACAATGTCACCTATTTTATAATGTTCACACACATACACACACTCACATTGCGTATTATATATATTATTTGCACTATGTGTTATACATATATAATATTATATAATACACAATATGTTAACTTTTATCAAAAAAAAATAAATATATAATACGCAATATGTATATTCTAGGGGCACTGCTAGCACCCTCCTAGACAAGAGGTCTCATGTGCTTCCAATTTAAGGAACTTTATGCAGAGGATGATCCCGCTTTCACTCCTGCACCTGCTCCCCCTCCCAACAACTATGGTTAAAATAATCTAAGCAAAAAGTATTAGGATCCCTATCACCTTAGTGACATATCATCCTTCTCATGGCTTCTTCATGTATGACTTCCTATGGCCATTAGCTTTGAAGTTCTCATTCATGGAAAATTTCTACAAGAATGTTAGTGGATTAAAATTAGATTGTAACAGCTGCATTGTTTGTCAAGGCTAGCCTCGTCCTAGAAACCATTTCTTTCGATGCTATAACCTAAATGTGGGATGATGTGCTACTCAACATCCATTCCAGAGCACAAGGTTGATAGTTGTGGTACTTGATCACCAAGTGGTGAAGGACCATCGAGTGTAAATGCTCCATAAGAGGACTTAGCTGATGCTTTTGGAGTTACCTGTTATTAATATCAATTAGCTATTATATATATTAATAACCATCGCAGTAGGTTATTAATATCAATTAGCTACCTTGATGTTTAGTTGCTACTTGACAATGATTTATGCAAGGCTAATGCATGTGACACAGCTTTTATCCCGCAATCTAGACTTTTTGTGTGATTAGAAATGTTGTAGTAGCAAAGGTTATTCAATCCAAGGACATCTCTAAGGGCGTGTTTGATAACAGGAAGTGTCTTCCTCTAAGTTTAGAACTTTTTAATACTGTTCAAGTTTCGTGTTTGATAAAAAATTGAACTTCAAACAAAACTTCAAGGAACTGTTCAAGTTCCAATCTTGCTTTAAAAAAAAATTTCCAACCCAAGGGTTGGAACTTAAACTAGGAACTCTTTTTTGATGAACCTCCCCCGCCTTCCCCCCACATATAAAATGTATATATTTTATTATATAATATACAATATAATTTAATGTATAATATATAATATATTTTATTATATAATATATTATACATTGTATATATTTTTATTATAGAATATTATAAACATATTTTATTATATATTAT